GAGGAGATCGAATACAGCACCGTTGTGTCCCAAAGTTGACTGATCCGTCGAGTCTACAATCCAAGAAGAAAGTACGCCGTAAACGTGAACTTTTGGCGCTCCGCACGAATTTCTTAGATCTGCGCTGGCACCCCCCTGGCGGCGCCTCCGGCGCCGCCCCTGGCGCGCTCCGCGCGCCAGGGAGGGGGGCCCAGCGCGGATAAGGGAAATCCATGCGGACTGGCAAACGTTTTCTATTTATGCCACGCTGTACAAGCAGTGCGTAGAATGTTCCGTTCCGGCCCTCCTCCCCTGCCCGCCCCTCCAGCCATCTAGCTGCGGCTCTCTTTCGGCCCGATCCTCTGTGTTGCCTTTTTATCCCTGTAGGGCAATCCAAAGGTGCCGCCGCGGCCCATTGCTATCTTCCTGCCCCTCCTCCTCCGCCTCCGCCTCCTCCCCCTCTTCCTCCCCCTGCTCCTCTTGCCCCGAGCTGCGTGCTTGCAAGTAAAGTGTCCGGCCAGTCTTCGTTGTCATGTGGCTGTCGGCGACTTGCCTGCGGGGCTGTCAGTGTGAGTGTCTGCCCCGAGCGCTGCCCTTCCCAAACAAGGCAGGACATCGGGGTCCACCTCATGGGCACGGTGAGGTAGCCATTGGATTGATTAGTGTGTGAGCCTGGTGTCATCCGCCTTGGAGTCTGCAAAAACAAATTGTAGAATGTCCCGTATATTTACGAACATGAACCTCAAAAAGCATTTAATAACCCCCCACACCGTTATCTTAGCACCGCGCAACAACACAATCCAGGGGGGGATATTGGCTGGGAAGCTTTATCCTTTTACCGAAAAGGGAGGGGTCTTAAATGCATCTTGAGCTTACACGTATGTGTTCGTGGATCCGGTGAACAAAATCAAGCCTGGTGTAAGTCAGTTATGTAGTCGATCTCCTACTCAGAAGGTGTCAGTGACCCTGCCGCCGGAGCAGGCCTACGGAGAGCGCCGCGAGCAGCTGGTCCTCACCATCGACAAGGATCGGGGGCAGGAGCACGCCTGTAAAGCTCCCCGGGCCTCCTGGAAAAGGGTCAGAGTAGATGGTGTCGGCGGATCCCGCCGCATCGGCGATGCGGCTCGAATTGGAGCCCGACCTTCTCGACGCACGCAAGCGTCGCCAATGCATCGCCGATGCATTGGCGATGCACCGGCGATCTTCAGACCCCATCCGCTCGGACCCCATAGTTGCAACCGCCACAGCGCGCCGTAGTGTGGACATTCGTCGGGGCAGATTCGCGAACGTGAGACGTGCAGCAACACATATACGTACATGAATTCTCGGACGAAGGTCCGCACACGTTACGTTAGTGCAATGTCAGCCCCGGAATCGGAAAGGAAGGATCCCCCCCCGTCTTCTCTCAGGGGGAGGGGGAGGGGAACAGCGCTCCCAGTGGCGAAAGATTATTGGTTCTTCCCCCGCGGTTGCGGCGGCGACGGAGCTGCGGCGTTTCAGCTCCTTGCTGCCTGGCTGTGATTCGCGCGGTGTGGAGAGACATGGCTCCAGCGATCGTACGGAGCTCATGAGTTGGCCAGTGGAGAAGCCTTACGGCCGGTGCCGCCGACCATGGACAACGACGAGGACGATGCTGGCGTGGGTCAGAGCCCTCATGGCTGCTTCTCGTGGTCTCTTCGGGGCGCTCTCGGGGGCCTCTGGGGAGCAGGGCACGACATGAGCGATGTTTTGGCGATCTCATGGGCCGGTTCGTTTTGATGTCGTTTTGCAGCAAAGGCGGAACGAACACAAAACGAGAGAAAACGCAACAGCAACACGATAACGGAAAACATTGTTTAGGTCGAGCCTTGCTGGGGGGTGGTTTGGGGGGCTCCTGGGAGCCTTTGGGGGGCCTGCCGGGAAGCTCCTGGGGGTCTCTCGGGCTCACCTTACACTCGTTGCCCTCCATATAACATCAGGAGACAGCACACAGAAACGTACGTCGACCCCCAGAACAAAGAAACAACAAAAACACCAAACAAATAAAGCATGGAACCCCGTGTGGAATCCTGCGATGTGTGTCTCGTTGCGCGCGTGCGGCGCCCCCCCCCCCCCCCCGCAAAAGGACAGGGCGCCGCAGGGGCTCGAGGTCGGAGCGCAGGTGCAGATGCAGGCCGCCAGCGGGCAGGCCGTGCAGGCCACGGTGGTGGAGGTGGCGGCGGACGGCGCCGTGACGGTCGACGCCAACCCGAGGCCTCCCCCTGCTCCTCCTCCTCCTCCTCCTCCTCCTCCTCCTCCTCCTCCTCCTCCTCCTCCTCCTGCCCCTCCTCCTCCCCTCCTCTCCTCCTCCTCCTCCTCCTCATCCTCCCCCCCATCCTCCTCCATCCCCCTCGCATCCTTCTCCTCCTCCCCCTCCGAACTCCTCCTCCCTCCCCTCCTTCCTCCTCCTCCTCCTCCTCACCTCCTCCTCTCCTCCTCCTCCTGCGCCTGCTCCTGCTCCTCGCCTCCCCCTCCTCCCCTCCTCCTCCTCCTTCCTCCTCCTTCTCCTCCTCCCCTCCTCCGCCTCCTCCTCTCTCCTCCTCCTCCTCCACCTCCTACCTCCTCCTCCTCCTCTCCCCCACCACCCTCCCCCCTCCTCTTCCTCCTCCTGCTCCTGCTCCGGCTCCTCCTCCCCCAGTTAAGCGAGGCAGGCCTTTTGTTTTGGTCTTTCCCTTCTGTCTCGGCAGTGAGTAGGGCTCGTTCCAACATTGGTTCCTCATATTTCTCCTGTTCCTGCTCCTCATTCACCTCCTCTGCTTTCTCTTCCTCATCCTGCCCCCTCTCCTCTTTTCGTCGTCGTAGTCGTAGCTGTCGGCGTCGTCGTTGCGCGGCGGGTGCCGCGGACAAAAATAACTAGGTACCCCATAAGTGGGACACCAGTCCTTCAATTCGGAAAATATTGGTTACCCCCTAGTGGGGGGATGCTCTAAAGGCCTTTCAGGGTTAACGTCTCGGCCACGCGCAGATCTGGGAAGCGTAAGGCTCGAGTGCCCGTCGGTCGCTGAAAGTGGGTATCTTTGGATTCCCAGATCCCAATTTGCTTCAGGCGCCTTCCTGCTTCAAAAATCGATGTCCTTTGCAATGTTTTGTTTTTCTTTAGGAGGGCCCGAACCCAACCTACTTTATCGGGCTTCCTACTTCATGCTTTTTACCTACTACGTCCGACCGACGTGTACGCCAGAATTCGGGTTTGCCAATGCTTGTTGACGAGCACGTTCTGGATCTTGACGGTCCAACTTTCAGAGGCCGTTTGCAATGGTAGTTCGCGCCAAATTTCAGACTGGGTCTCGTCATTTTCACGATTGCCCCGTCGGGCCAACCCGAGTCCTCCGAACACGAGTCTTACATCCCTCCGAGCAACGGTTCTGCTGCTCCGACCTGTCGTAGCCTTGATCGCCAGAGTGAAGGTCCGAGCACGAAGACGAGGTTCGCTCGACAACTTCGCCAGCGTGTCGGGCAGACACTGTTTCGATTCCTTCCTGGATGCTCGGAAACATGTCGGGGAGGTGTCGGGGCTGGACAGAACCCCCAATAGTGACACGTCGATTAGTGAATTGTCCGTTTTCGGTTCTCGAGAGGGCGCCGTGGCCGTTATTTTCCAGGCTTTCGCCCGCCAGATTTGGGCCCGAGGTCGTTTTCACTAAACCACGTTTTGCTAAAGGGGGTTCTGTCCATCCCCGAAGGTGGTCCGTCAGGACGATGGGGACAGCATAAGTTCACGTCGCGGCCACGCGCAGAGGGTGGTCTGGGGGACGGGGGAATGCTTCCTAGATCGGGCGAAGAACACTCTGCACATGCACCGATCCCGGCAAGGCCCATCCTTGACCCAGGATCGGTGCATGTGCCTTCCTGGCCAAGGTAGGAGGGCGTATGCACCGATCCTGGGCTCAGGATGGGCCTGGCCAGAATCGGTGTACGTGCATAGTTATTTTTCCTGTATTAGAAGCACCCCTGCTTCTGTAGATGTAGGGGCCAGCGCCTTCGAAGAAGCGGCCCCTCCTTCGAGGAAGCCTTCCCCCTTCCCCCTGAGCATCCCCCCTGAGCACGCCGCCAAGCGTTCGGGGCGGATGGGCTCGGGGCTTCGAAGTCTGAGGCTGTCGCACGTTCTCGTCTGCTCTCGGCGGCCCTCTGACCTCGGGGTGGTCTTCCGCAGCTGCGCCTCGCCGAGGACGTGCCGGGGCTGCCCGGATCGTCCCGAAGAAAAGCCGACGGAGGCCCGAGGTGTGACCCGGAAGCCACGGGGGCGGAAAAGAGGGGGGGTGATGACTAGGGGTGGGTGGCTATCATGGCGGGGGCCATGATATTTCTCCAGAATTCATGGCGCCTCTTCTTGTTTCATTACGTCCTGGCCCCTCCGCTGGGCCGCGCACATGCCGCCGGTCATGGTTTGCCCCCCCCCCTCTTGGACACCCCCCTCTTGGCCGTTCCCGAAAACCACCAAGGGTGAGGCTCGGTGGGGGACGCATCGACCCACAATCGCCCAGAGATCGCCGAGGGCCCATCGCCGATCTGCCGGCGAGGCATCGCCAATTCCAAGCTCATGTTTCCGCCAATGATTACCAGCCTGGAACATATCCCTATCCCTATGCTGGGCATCTCCTCATCACGATGCCAATCTTAGGGATTCCCTTTTTTTTGAGGGCGAGTCCCTAAGATTGTCATCGCCTTTTGGATTGTCAATCTTCGGGATAGGGATAGGTTCGAGGCTGGTAAAATGAGCTGTTCCCCCCATCGCTGCCCCCCCTCAAGGTTGGCGGGCAAGACGCTGCTGTTCGACATCGAGTTCGTGGGCTTCAAGGACGATCGCCACGAAAAGCAAACACGCCCGACGTACCAGTCTTTTCGGCTGGCGCCGCCGATGTACCGCCGACGTCGCCGATGCATCGGCGATGCGGCTCGATCCTCCTACCCCATCTGCTCGGACCCCCTCTGGGAGGCCTCTAAGAGTGGGGATATGGACCGACGGCATCTCCTGCCTTCTCTTGAGAGCACGCATCGCTGCCAGCGTCGCTCGAAGGGCGCTGCCTGCTCGGGGCAGACCTCGAGGGCCGCCACGGGGACGCAGAGTGCTTCGCGGCTCGTGTGTTCGCGATCCGCTCGTCCTCCTGCTCACCGGGGGGGGGGCGAGCGCAAAGTTATGCTGAAATCTGGCATGTCCCTCTACAGGAGGGATGTTCAAAACCAGACACACACACATGCTCTGGGGACGACTGTTCGACTCCTGCTGACTTCTGAACATGTTTGATGGTTTTGTGCCTCTTCCAGAATCCGCCTGCAGGAGGACATGCCCAACCTACAGTTCTCCGCGCTCTGCGAGGCGCGAAGCGCGAACATAGCAAGCCAAGGGCGCCCTCGAGGGCGCGAAGTTATTCGCGCTTCGCGGTTCGGCTCCGATTCCTCCTCGTCCTCCTCTTCTCCCCTGAGAGGCGGCGCGAGAGCGCGAAGTTATTCGCACTTCGCGCTTCGCGCAGCGCGACGCGCGAAGTTGGGAGCCCTTGCTTCGAGGCGCGAAGCGCGAACATAGCAAACTGGCCGCCTGCCCAGCCGCGGTCCCTGCCAGTCTGGGGCGACGCTTGTGGTGCTGAGCAGCGTGGCGGCTCCTCGGGTGGCGAACAGCGGCAGAGGGCGCCATGCACCCCGAGCGCCGTCCCAAGGGAGCCGGGGCCCTTGATCGATACAAATTTATCGGGCAACGCTCGGGGGGGATATAGGGAAAAAAAAGTGACATAAACATAAAAACTCGGAGGTCCGCGCGGATTTCTCGCGTCGGCGCTGGATTCCAGGTCGTGTCGTCGATTGAAGCTCGATGCTTCCCCCGCCTTTGCCAGTCCTCCTCTGATCGTTGTCCCTCAGTACAGGCCCGCAGGGGATCGCCGATGTTCAGGAGGGAAAGAAACACACAGACACAATTAATCTTCGATATCCTGGAAAACATGAGAAAATACGGGAAGTGGTGGGGAAGACAAAAGCCCAGAAAGTATGGACAAAAATGAGGAGTCTTTTTATTTGTGTGTATTTATTTGTGTGTCCCAGGGCCCCTTCAGATGTGTTTGGTCATTCTGCCTCAGGAGCCACTTGGTGGGGGGCAGAGTTCGGTATCGGGGCTGGCAGATCCGTGCCGAAACAAGAGCTGGCCCAGTCTGGCACGATCCCGCCGAACCCTGCCGGATCCCCGCTCAATCTGGGCGGCTTGATCCTGACTGGATTTGGCCCAGTCCGGCTTGACGGCCCCCTGATTGCCCGAAATGCACCAGAGAAAAAATGAAGCACCACCACTAGCTAGGGGGTCTGGCCGCTCCACTCCCCAAACCAGTGACGCCCCATCCATGGCGCGCCCTCAGGGAGTGCCCAGAGCGGAGTTCCACCATCTTGGGTTGACCTTTGGGGACAGAGGTTAGTCGGGCCTGTCCCTCTGCAGGAGGAATATTCAAAAATAGTCAAAAATAGTCAGGCGACGATCTTTTTGGAGATGGAATATTTTTGATTTTTATATAAAAAAGATGTTCGTTCAAAATCCCCCTGTAGGGGGACAGACAGGCCCGACCTAATTCTAATGTGGTGGTGGCTCATCTTGTTTCCATGATTACGCTGCGGTCGTTGAAAGTAGGTATGCTGGATATCCAGGTTCCAAGCTACTTCAGGCTCCTCCCTGCTTCAAGCATCTGTTTGCCGTAGTTTGTTATCACTTGGGCGGGCCCGAGCCCAACTTACACTGTCCGCCTACCTACGTCATGTTTCATGTTTCCACGTTCTTCTTCGGACTGGCGGGTAATCGTTCTTACGAAGACCTCCCAGGAGTGCCTCCCAAGGTGCCAATGCTTGCCCGTGCCCGTGTCGGGCTCCGTCGCCTGCCCGTGGGGCTCAGCCTTCTGGGGGTCTGGAGAAGTCAATCTCGATTCCGTGGGTGTTCCTTGGTGAAGGCAGCATTCGCCTCAGCTCATGTGTCCGCCCTGGCTGGGCCTTGGCAGTTCCTTCGGACACCTCTGCGCCCCAGTCCACTACAGTGGAGACCCATGCCAAGAAACATCCTGCTTTCCTCCAGAGTGCCCTGGGTTTCTTGGGTTTCGGTGGTCTTGCTGTGGAAAGGGTGACGTCCCCAGGCCACAAATCACGGGACGTCCTGGGGTCTCAGGGCTGGGATTCTTGTGGAAGGCCTCTTGTGGACGAGCCCTTTTGCACTTTTATCTGAAAACGTGTTCCCAGCCATGCGACGTCCTGATTTTTTCAATACGGGGTCCCTGGAAGTCCCGACCCTTTCCGCTGGACGGGCTTTTCATCCCGAGTCGCTTTTTGACGGTCCCGAGGCCCAGAGAGGGCCCCCAGTTAGGCCGAATATAGCCCAAAATTGACAGTTTTTTTCGATTCGATCATGTCTAGGTTTCCTTCAAGCTGTTACCTTGTCGCTCACCCCGACCCCCAGAAGTCTGAGACCCCCACAGTGGCAGGCGAATGATGGGTTCGGGGGTGGACAGAACCCCCAACAGTGACACGTCGATTAGTGAATTGTCCATTTTCGGCTCTCGAGAGGGCGCCGCGGCCGTTATTTTCCAGGCTTGCGCCCGCCAGGTTTGGGCCTCAGGTCGCTTTCACTAAACCGCGTTTTACTAAAGGGGGGTCTGTCCCTCCCCGATGGGTGCCGAGAGGAGCTGCTGGCGCCGGCGGAGGCGCCCGCCGGTCGGGAGCTGGCCACCTTCGCCGCGGGCTGCTTCTGGGGCGTCGAGCTGGCCTTCAGAGGGGCAAGAAATCGTGATGATGCTGCTGCTGGTGCTGATGGTGATGACGATGATGATTCGGCGTCACCCCACATACTTTTCACCAGCCTCGAACTTATCCCTATCCCTAAGATTGACACGCCAAAAGGCGATGACGATCTTAGGGATTCGCCCTGAAAAACGAAGAGCATCCCTAAGATTGGCATCGTGATGAGGAGATGCCCAGCGTAGGGATAGGGATATGTTCCAGGCTGGTAATGATGGTGATGACGATGATGATTCGGCGTCACCCCCACATACTTTTACTAAATGTGTGTCGCCTCCCCATGCGCGACGCGCGCACCGAGAAATCTTACAGTATCTGCGTCGTGGCCGGCGCTTTCTGGCCTCACCGCTTGGGAAACAATCTATGACACTATGGGTCTATTATATGTTCGTGTCGGGCGCGCGCCTCCGAGGAAGACACATAGTACCAGTATGCCCTTGTGCGTCCACTTATGGTGATGGTGATGGGATGAAGAATAAGAAGATTATGATGACGGTGATGCTTATGCTGATGGTGATGGTGGTGATGGTGGTGATGATGATGATGCTGGTGATGCTGATGATGATGGTGGTGGTGATGATGATGATGGTTATACGTTCCAAGATGTTCAAGGCTTCCAGGGATTTCTATATAACATTTTCTTCCGCACGGGCTCAAGAAACGAGGGCTGGCAGATCCTTTGGAGGTCCTGGAACGTATCCTGAAGGCAGGCATGTCCGTTGTACAACAGGAGTATTTAAAATGGTAGAACATGCCCTGGGGACCATTTGTTCAACTATTATTGACAATGTTTGCATTTAGTTGAAGTTCTGTTTTGTCCCAAATCCGCCTGTAGGAGGACATGTCCGACCGAAACGCATCCTGAGCACATCGCATGATAGCATCATTCTGGCCCCAGGCCTTCCAGCGGGTGCCGGGCGTTGAGTCCACCTGCGTCGGCTATTGTCAGGGGCACCAGGAGAAGCCGACGTACGAGCAGGTCTGCTCCGCGCAGAGCGGGCACACAGAGGCGGTGCGGGTCGTCTTCGACCCGCAGGTGGTGTCCTTCAAGGAGCTCCTGAAGGTCTTCTGGCCGCGCGTGGGCAAGAACGCGACCACCCTGAACCGGGCAGGCAACGACACGGGGCCGCAGTACCGCAGCGGGGTCTACTACCACAGCGAGGAGCAGAAGGCCGCCGCGGACCAGAGCGTCGCAGAGCTGCAGGCCACGCTCTCCGAGCCGATTGTGACAGAGGTTCACGGGCGAAAAACGTATCCGTATCCGCGGCCTCGTGGGTTGGGCCCCTGGGCCGCGACCCCCCGCGGATGCGGGGCGTGTTTTGTTCGCGGACGCCCCGCGCGGAACGCATCCGTGCGACGGTGTATCCGCGGCATCGCGCCCCGGAATGCAGACCGCGAGGGCGCGGATGCGGACCGTGCGCCGCTCGTGCAAGGTGGAGCCAGCGGCGCCCTTCTGGCTGGCGGAGGACCAAAAGAGAACTGTGCACATGCACCGATCCTGGCAAGGCCCACCCTCGACCCAGGATCGGTGCAGATGCCTTCCTGGCCAAGGTCGGAGGGCGTATGCACCGATCCTGGGTTCAGGATGGGCCTGTCGGGGGTGGACTGAACTCCCAACAGTGACACGTCGATTAGTGAATTCTCCGTTTTCCGTTCTCGAGAGGGCACCGTGGCCGTTATTGTCCAAGTTTGCGCCCGCCAGGTCTGGGCCTCAGAGGTCGTTTTTTCATTAAACCACGTTTTACTAAAGGGGTGTCTGTCCATCCCCGAGCCTGGCCAGAAGCGGTGCGTGTGTGCATACAGTCAGAGCCCTGAAGAAGGAACCCTTCTCGTTGGGAAGGGGCTCCGTGTTTCTTAATTGTTTCGCAGCTTGCCCTGGATTTTCCTTAGGTTTTCGATAGGAAATCGAAGTTCAACTTATGGAAAAAAGGGGCCTCGTTCCTTATTTGGGGTTCTTTAGGTCAACGCCCCGACTGTAGTGTTTTTTCTTCTTAGGACTACCACCAGCAGTACCTCGAGAGGGGCGGGCGCGGCGGCAGCCCCCAGAGTGCGGCGAAGGGGTGCACCGACACGATCCGCTGCTACGGGTGAGGCCGCGCGCCCGAGGCTCGCAGCCGACGTTCGGCCGCGCGCCCTCCACGCGCAGTCTCGCGCTCCGGCTCGGAGGGGCCGATGTCCCACCACCGCTGCCATAGGCAGGCGAGGGAGGAGGAGGAGGAGGAGGAGGAGGAGGAGGAGGAGGAGG